GCCAGGTCCAAGGACCATCTAAAGCCTAACCCGCGGCTGGGCAAGGACTGCAGCTCGGCCTTGGCTTGGGTGAGGTTTGCCCGGCTCCTTTGGCATGCCTCGCATCCCTCTACCCACTTCTGCACCTGCCTGTGCATTCCTTCCCACCACCAGCCCGTCTTCAGCAGCTGCACTGTCCTCTCATGCCGGAAGTGTCCCAACTTTGAGTGCACCTCCCTGATCACTGCTTCTCTCTCGCCTGGTGCTGGCACCAGCTTCCACCCGTCCTCAGTCTGTATCTGTAACTGCTGCTGGTACCACCTGTAGTGGTGCCCCCTTGCTCTCACCCTCTCGCTCATTTCCTCGTCTGCCCCTGTCTCCCCCTTCACCCATCTCACGGCCTGCTCATCCTCCCAGATGTCTGCCGGCCCCTTGCCCCCTTTTTCCCCGCTCAGCTCCACCTGTCTGGCCAGCAGTGCTAGAGTCCCTGTGGGCTCTAGTGGTGGGGGGTTACGGGAGAGGCCGTCCACATGTTGCGGGGTTTTTCCCGGCCGGTGCTTGATTTTAAAGTCGTACTCCAGCAGCTTCATCGCCCACCGTGCATTCCTGCCTGTTAACCCTGGTGTGGTCATCAGCCATGTCAATGGCTGGTGGTCCGTCACCAAGGTGAACTCCCGCCCCTGCAGATAGACCCTGAAGTGCCGCACAGCCCATACTGCCGCCAGTCCCTCCCCCGTGTATGAGCTGTACTGTGCCTCTGCAGAGTTGCAGCTCCTACTCGCGTAAGCCACCACCTTCTCCTCCCCTTCCACCTCCTGGCAGAGTATCCCGCCCATCCCTTGGCTGCTCCAGTCGGTGTAGAGGGTGAAGGGCTGGTCCGCTGCTGGCAACTGCAGGACGGTTGCTGTCTTCACTGCTGCCATCAGGTCCTGCAATGCCCCCCTCTGCGCTTCCCCCCACTCCCATGTCTTGTCCTCCCTCAACAGCCCATTGAGAACCGCTGCTCGCCTGCTGAAGTTGGGTAAAAACCGCCGGTAGTAACTCAGGAATCCCAACACTGCTCTCAGCCCTGTCTTGTCCTTCGGTTCTCGCAGCCTATCCAGCACCTCCACCTTCGCTTGCTGGATCCCGATCTGCCCCCCTTTCACCTCATAGCCCATATACTGTACGGTTTGCTCGCCCCACATATACTTCTTCGGATGACACGTAAGCCCTGCTGCTTCTATTGCCGCCAGGGTCCTCCCCACGTCCTGCAGGTGCTGCTGCTCGGAGGTGCTGAAGATTACTACGTCGTCTATGTAGCATGCTGCACACTCCACGTCCCTTAGCACTACATCCATGACCCTCTGAAACACTGCTGATGCGTTCCTCAGCCCGAATGGCATATAAAGCCACTCATACAGCCCATCCGGCCCATGGAAGGCCGTCTTCTTGATGTCCTCCTCCCTGATTTTTATCTGGCTGAACCCCTGCCGCAGGTCCAGCGTCGTGAAGAACACCCCCTCCGCTAACTTGCCAAATATCTCCTCTGCCATCGGCATTGGGTACCTGTCCGCCATAGTAATCTTGTTGAGTGCTCGGTAGTCTCCGCACATCCTCCTGCTCAGGATCTCCCGTGTCAAGTCCTTCCTTGCTGCCACCACCGTTGGTGTGGCATATTCTGACTCGGAGCGCCTGATGAGTCCGGCCGCTAACAACTCCTTAATCTTCTCCTTGCATATCTCCTCATCTCCGTGCGGCATCTTCCTACGCCGCTGGAACACATGCTCCGTGCTGCTCAGTTTCAACTCCATCTCCTTCACCTTGCACCTCCGCAGTTCCTGCAGTGTGAAGGCAAAGCACTTCCTGTGCTTGGCTAGCAGCTCCAGCATGGCCCCCTTTCCCTCTTCGCTCATCGCCTCCCTCACTGTCCACTTCTCTCCCTCCTCCGCCTTGCAGCTCCACGCTCCTTGTGGGGCTGCTGCTGCTGCCGCCTCCTTTGCTTCTTGCCCCCAGCCTAGGACCATCTCTCGCCACATCCTCTGAACCAACCACCTCATCATATAGCCGTCCATGGCATTCCCTAGTGCCCTCCTCCTGTCTTCCTCACTCACCCCTGGTGCTGCTGTCACGTTCTCTCCATACCCCATAGCCAGCTCCCTCTCCAATGCCGTTGGTTCCTCCCACCGTCCCCGTTTGTGGTCATATATCAGCCCGGGCCCTAGCTTCCCCCCTTCTCATCTGTAGCCTGCTGCCCCTGCATAAGCGACCAAGGTGGGCAGCGCCCTCCTGTCTTGCCCCACCTGGTTGCACGGGTAATGCCTGCTGTAACTCCTTTGACAGACTGGCGCGGGAGTGCGTCCTGGCTCTAGGATGTCCACCACCCTTCTCCCTGTTGCCCTCCTCATCCCCTCCGCTTCCTCCTGTAGATCCATCACGGGAACCACGTTCTGCCAGTACATCATGAGGCGCTGCGCGTACAATCCTGCCCTGGCTGCATCACAGCTCATCCCCTTACCCAAGTGCCTGCCAATCTTCTCCCTCACCAGCCGAATTGGCTCACTGTAGTCCCCCTCTAAATCCAAATTCTCCAGCAAGAAAGCAACTCTGCCCTGCCTCTCCTGCAGCCACTCCAAGATATTGAACAGGTTGTCCATCAGCTTCGTCCTCAGGTCCTCCCCTCCCTTCCCTCTTCCTGCCCATGACACCCCTTGACACTCCCATCCCGCCACCAGCAGGCCCACCTGCCCCCAGCTGGCCACCTGCTCCTCTGTGATCTGACTCATGTCGTGCACGGTACCGCTCATGGCATCCTCAATCATTTTCTCGCTCAGGAGGTCCAGGAACTCCACTCTCAACTGCCGCGCACGATGTTCAGCCATCCACATAGACCCACTGCTGCACTGCAATCCCACTTCTCACCGCTGCCGCCAACCCTGCCCCAATTCCCCCAAACAACTCCACCAGCCGAATGGGCTGCTGCCAGTCGCTCTGTTGCCCCGGCTTGTCCATCGGCTTCATCCTGGGCCCCCCTTTTGCCTCTGCTGTCCCTCCCTGCCCCTTCTGTGCCCCTCCTGCCCCGACTTGATAGGCCCGCTTTGGTTCCACCTTCACAAACTGCACTGGCAGCTGCCCCAATGGTCCCTCCTTCCAGTACCTCAATCTGAACTCTACCTTCTCTGTCCAGGTACATATGCTCATGCCTACAGCGAACACCAGTTCAGTCCCCACCAGCAGATCAAAGTCCTCAGACTCCGAGATTCCACACTTCATCCTGATCCTCGTTTCATGCTCTCCTCCTGGCAGTAGGGTCAACTCTATGGGGGTCCGCGTGCACGGCATCCACTTTGGTTCCCCTCCCTCTGCCGTCATGACTAGCATCCCCTTCGCCACGTGCCTCTCAGGTGCCATCAGCCCCAATCGTTCGGCCATCCCCTTACCCAACATCACGCTCTGTGCTCCTGTGTCAATGATCGCCGTCTTTACCTTCCTCCCCTCCACTTCCACTGCTCCTGCCTCCACAAGCAGCACCGAGGTCTGGCACTCGAGCCTCTCCTACGGGTGGCGGGCTGGGAGTTTCTCTGCCGCTAGCGCGTCTGGCTTGGACCCCTGCTCACGTGGCTTCCTGCTATGCTCCTGCCTGCCATCCTTCCCCCCGCTACGCAGCCCTATCTCTTCCCCGCCTCTTTATGCCATGAGGGCACACTGCACGTCCGGCTCCACCCCTTCTCCCCCCTCGTCCCTGGCATACATCCCTACCTCCGCTCCCCACCCTGGCTCCATGGACTGCAGTTGAGACTACAGCCTGCTGATCTGCCGCTGCAGCTCTTCCGGCTTTCTCCTTGCCCCTCCCTCCCACTGGTAGCACTCCTTGGCCTCGTGCCCCTTCTTCCCGCAGATCTCACACTTCGCTGTATCAGGACACTCTCGTTTTCGATGCCCAGGCTTACTGCAGCCATCACAGTTCTTGCACTCTCGGCGGAGATGCCCCAGCTGTCCGCATCGGTAGCAGGCACGCGCGTTGGCTCTCTCTTCCCTGTGCGCGTCCACCCTCCCCCGTTCCTCCGGTATCATGGCTGCCGCCCACGTTGGCCTGCGGCTCCTCTCTATCGGCCTCGGCAGGTAGGCCTCGTACTTCCTCTGTGCTAGCTCTACCCTCTCTGCCAGGTCAAACACCTCCTCCAGCGCCGCTTCTGCCCCCAACTCATACACCCTCATTCTCAGTCCTCCCCCAACACCTCGTCCAGGCCTCCAAGAAACTTGCTGATGAGGAGGCTGTTGTCTGAACACTTCACATCCTCCGCCAAATTTATCAATCGGTTGTAGTAGGTCAGTAGGGACTCTGTTCGCCCCCTCCTGAACTCCTGAAACTCCTTTATGCGCTCCGCTATGTGCCCCGGGAATTGACGCTATAGTCGCTCCAGAAATGCCTCGGTCGGATCCTCCCCGTACCTCCCCGCCCTCCACAGCAGCTCGTCCATCCTCATGCGGTACAGCGTCTCCGCCTCTCCCTCCAGTGTGTTCGGTAGGCTCAAAAAGAAATATATCGGGTCCATGCCTTGCCGGTCACAGCGGTATTTCACATTCCCAACCTGCATCAGGTAATTCTTGAGGGCAGGCCCCGCCTGTTGGTCTCCCAAGAACCTGGCCGGTACCTCCACCCGCGTCGCGCTGGTCGTACCTCCCCGCCCGTCCCCCCATGATTCCCTGCCCCTTCCCAGCCGCTCTCCCTCTGTCCCCCTTTCCTTAGCCCTCTCCAGCCCTTCCCTGGCCTCTCGGGCCTGCTCAGCGTCATATGCCAAGCTCCCTCCACCTGCTCTGCTCTCTCGCCGGCTCCAGCCCGAGACCCCGTGCGCTTCCCTCCTGCCCCTCTCCTCGTCCGCGCGTCCTCGCATACGTGCCGGCGAGACTCGTGCACCCCCCCACCCTGCTGTGCTTGTCTCCCGCTGCCACCGTCTCTCTGGCGACGGTGACCAAGCTTCGCCCCTCTCCTGCCGCCAACGATCCACAGGCGCGCGCCCATCCCCGCCGTCTTCCCTTCCTCACTGCTGCCTGCTGAGCGGCGCGCGAAATTCCCCGCCCATCCTCCTCTCCCATTGCTCCCGCGGGCCGGCTGTCCACGCCACCCCGCTGCGTTCCTCTTGCCGCTGGCCACGCCTTTCCGCCAAACTGGGCCCTTCCTCGCGCCCTTCCCCCCGCCGCCAGTAGTGATTGGGTGCGCGCGGCTCGCCCTCTCCGCCCTCCTTGCGCATCATCTGCCTGCCCGGCGATCGTGCGCCGTCTCCGACCCAGCCTTCCGGTGCCTGCAGCCCGTCGAGTGTGCGACGGTTGACAGGCGGCCGCTCCCACCGCCGCGGTTCTTCCCTTGATGCGCGCGGTCCCCCCATCTTGCTCCTGCTGCGTTCTCCTTGCGTCCCACCAGCGCCGGCGCGCACGCCCCAGTCCCGCCGCTCCTGTTGACGCAGCCCTTCGGCGTCCTGCTCCTCCTGGCGGCTGGCGTCACGCTCGCACAATTCCCGCCGTCCCGACTGCGATCCTTCCACCACTGCCTGGCTTGCGCCCCCGGCGACATCCGCCTCTTCAGGCTCGGCGTTTCTGATCCCAATCACGGGCTCCTCATCGTCATCCCCTCCATCGGCGTCTTCGGCCGCTTGTTCCAGGTTCAAGCCGGCCTCTTGCACCTCCTCCTCGCTAGACGTCTCCCACGACCCTTCCCCGTGGGCAGCTTCCCTTTCTCGGTCGGCGTCGAATCTCTCCACACCACGCCAACGGCCTCGCTCATCGCGGCAGCGCCCGCGTCCTTCCGGCGAGCGAAACTCTCCCGCGGCGCGGCGGTCATCGCTCCCGTGCCCATCTCCGGGATCCCGCTCTCTCTGCCACGCGTCTCCGTCCGCGCTTGCAGCGTACGCTCCTACGCTCGGCCTCCCTTCCGCCCGCCGGTCCCTAGCGACCGGCACTCTGTCTGCGCAAAAAGCTGGCCTGCACGGCGAGCGCTCCAGGGATTGCCCGCGCTCACGTGACGGCTCACGCCGCGCCCGTTCCTCTTTGCGGCGACTGAACACTCTGCCCCAACGAAGCTCGTACTTATCCATAACTACAGACTAGATGCCTATTGTGTGGTATGAACAGGATTGCTCCCTCACCCCACAGGTTCCCCCTTAGAGCTGTGTCATTGCGTGTTGAGGCTAGTATGACAACTTTCCACTAGTCTGAGAGAATACCACACAATAGGCATCGAGTGAATTGGCGTGGGTGACCTTACCCAACCTCGGCTTGCACATTTCCAATGTGCGGCTCGAGGTTGGGATTCGTTCAAATCCCCATTTCGCCCTTCGGTGCTTTTCCCCCGCTATCCCAAACCGCTCTCACCAATTTCCCCCCTTCTCCACCCCTTAGCAACCGACACTTCACTACTGGCTGCAATGACTACTCTACTTCTTATCTATCTACTTCAATGTATTTCTAACCATTCTAATATTGCTTCAAAGCACCGCACGCTACTGTTATTGCATATGCATTCCTTGCATATGCGGTGACAACTCGGCGATGCATCGACGGGCTGGTCGCTTAGCGGACGGCACGAATTCGCCTCTGGCCACGGCTCGGTACTAGCTGTAGGAGGATTGTCTGGGGGCAACACGGGGGTGGGCGGCTCGGCGGTAGGTAATACGGGCGTGGCTGTCGTCGGGGCAACGAGTCTGAGGAAGTCTAGGCCTGTCTTCTGTTGTGGGGCCCTAGAACTGGGAGGAGCAGCAAGTCGGGTCTCTTCCGGCATGTCACCAGGATCATCCATGGCGTGAACGCCCTGAGCAGATGATGCATGGGCGAGAAACGAGCTTGGAGAGGGCTGTGCTAGGGCGTGGCAAATGGGGGGGTTAATACAGGATGAACTTGACCATACATTACACACCGTTGCAGTCATTGGCTTCCCTGGGATGGCACGCACCGCGGTGCCCCAACGGAGACATGGACCAGCGCGACGAAGGTGCATCGTCGGTGCGTGCTGCTGCAACCCACTTTCATGTGCGCTGTGAAAAACTGCCCAATGAGCGCCAGAGCTGCTGCAGAATCATCCAGAAACAGGCCCGTCAGGTTGCCAATGACAAACCCTGGCTGAACCTAGACGGCCAACGGTGTGCGAAGGATGCGCCGTAACCCCAAATTTGACAGGGGATGCTCGGTAACTGCCGTGATTGACGGAAGTACCGACAATCACGGCGAACTGGATAAGCCTTGGTTTCAGACAAATATGCTAATGGTCCCTTGTAAATCAGATGAACTAGGAAAAACACTTCTAACTCAATCAGACATTTCCTAAAAGTAAGTTCTAACCCATCAGATATTCCAGAAACATGAAACTTAGAAACCAGATTCCACAACAAAAAAACCCCTGATTTTAAAGACAAACAGACAAAAATGTTTGATGTCGAGGACCCTGGATCCAAACCAGAACATCAAGTAAGGACGCGGTGAAAGTAAACAATCGATCGTCAGTCGCGATCGATGTGCAGATCGGTTACCCTATTTACTCCGCTGTAATTATGCCACAGTACGCTTTTTTGCCAAAATTTCTGTACAGTGTGCGAATGTGACTGATCACTGATCGCGGGAGATCTGTCAATTCTAAAGGGGCGATCGTTACAACGTCGCGGTCGCCACGTTTCGCTAATCGATCTGCCCACTCAATTGTGGGGCTCGATATTTGCAGACGATCTTGCGATATTTGCACTTGCACCGCGTCCTAAGTTCGAGACACCTACAAATCTGGTGTGGTAATTTTCGCTGCGGACCACGGTCCAAACACTGTTGCCTACTAGTCAAGCAACATTACTTTACAGGCAAAAAATACTTGGTTTCCGCTGGCAGCAAGAACGATAGCCTGCCCAATGCAACTTTGTAAGTGTAATATTTCGGGCAGAAAATGTCTACTAAACGTTTACCCTAAAACGTCAGGTATACAGTTTTACCGTAAAGCCGTTAATATTTTATTTTATGGGTCGCGTTTCTTGTCGAGGGTTACTCGCGTTTGTGCTAACATGACTCGTGGGGTTGAGATTGCAGCTGGTACTAGTACCCGTTTTGTACAGTTGTGTCTGTAATGCAGGGCTCTATAGCTGGTTGTTTTACATGGTGCCAGGCTGGCGTGTTGACGTTGCTGAAGGTCAACACCCATGTTTCGATATGGACATTTTCTGGCTGCAGAGGTAGGCGAGGGTGTAGAGCATTGGTTTGCTCGCTACCACAACAGCCTCATACAAGGTTTGAGTGTTAGGGCTTGTTAATTGTACATTTTTGGGCAACATATTTTGCTAATTATCACATTGCTTCTGATCCGACAACTCACTCTTGCAAAGTGGTTAGCCTAACAAATTCTGGACGGTCAGCGTGTTGAAGTAGCCTTAGTAACTTAGGTTTAGGAGGCTAGGCTTGTGTCAAGAGTAACATGACGAGGGGAATTGAGAAGGGATGGGTGAACTAGGAATGAGGAGGATACAAATGTGTAACCCTAGAGTTGTATCCCCTCTAAGGGAAGCCCCACTACAACCTACACAGAACAAACATATAGTGTTTGACACACCCCCATATGCAAAATGGGCAATAGCTAACACAACTAACGGTCACAAGACCAGTCATGCAAGATTACAAAGCAAAGCAAAGCTCAGGGAGGACCTCAAGAATACCACACCGTCCGAGCATAAGCAAATGACCACAAGGCCAGTTCACATGCAGAGTTATAATAGCAAGGCAGTATACTGATCACAATCTGGCAAGTGTAAGCATGCATGTATAAGCATATATATCAGTGTACAAAAAGTGGAAGGCAAGATCAAGAGACAAGCAAGTGAGGATGAGTGGGCATAAGCCAAAGAGCAGTGCAAAAGCGCTGATGATCACCAGACCCAAGGGCCTTGGTGAAGACATCAGCAGTGTTGGCCCGAGAGGCCACATAGGAAAGGCGAAGCTGACCACGCTGCTGCAACTCGCAAGCAAGAAAGCAGTGAAGAGCAATGTGCTTCATTCTATGCTCCAGTCTCTGCTCGCGATACAAGGCAAGCATGGCCTTGTTGTCGACGTACAGAACTGGAGGAGAACGAGGCCGCTCCCCCAAGTCGGTCAACAGGTAGGTCAGCCAGCATAGCTCCTGGGCATCCATAGCCCCAGCGTTCAGCCTCACAGCTGGAACCAAGCACAGAAGACGAACGAGTAGACCTCTACGAGACAAAACCAGAGCCAAGACTGAAGGTGTAACCCTGTTACTGTCAACAGGAGTTGTATTTGGCCCCGTCCTCGCTTGGGCGGAGCCGACCTCGACGACCGCGGGACCGCGGGGCCGCGGGAGGCCGCGGGAGGACGCGGGACCGCGGGAGGCCGCGGGAGACCGCGGGGCCGCGGGAGGCCATGGGGCAACCACGGGACCGTGGGGACCGCGGTGGCCGCGGATGGAGGACCGGGGGCCACGGGGGCCGCGGGATACCCGGTCGACCAGGATACCTGGGCGACGTGTGCGAAAGTCACCGGGGGTGATTTCTGCGAGGACGACCTCGGGGGTGGTATCTTGAGGTCGACGTGGCTGGTGGGCGCCGTCACGGGTGGAGTGTCTGCGCTGGGCATGTGACGGGGAGTTGGGCGCTAACCAGCTGCACGCACCTGCGAAGTTGGTGCACCATTGTCAGGCGGGTGCAACGCTGTGCAGCCGACTTGCTGCAGCGTTGGCACACCGCGGACTTGCAACGTTGGCAAGCCGCGACTCTGCTATGCTGGAGCGCGGTCGACCAAGTCGTGCTGGCACGCGGTCGACCGTGCTTCGTTGGCAGTCGACCAGCAGCCTTGCTAGGTATGATGTAGTCTGTGTTGCCAATGTTGATGCTATTATTCCTGAATCATTGTTGTGAACTTTTGCTAATGGAACTCTTGCGAAATTTCCCTGTGAACTTGCAAGCAGTGCAAGCACATGTAAACGACTAAGGAACGACCGCAGAGATCACACGAGCATCCGTGCCTAGCCCGTAGTCTAGCTCCCATTGCACTAGTTATCTCCGCATGGTGCGGTGAGCGTGGACGACACCGCGAAGTGACCTTCAGTTTAGTCGACTTTGCATTCACCTAGCTTGTTCGTAGACCGGCAGCCGCACTAGACACCATGATGGACCCCGTAGTGCAAGCGGGCGTTGTGGACACCCTAGAGGCACGGCTAGAGAACGCAAGGAGAAGGCACGAGGCCAACGAGTATGGCGACCTGCCCTGGGCGGTCGTCGTGCTGGCATCCGCGCAGTGTGGGCGACAGAGCATCCTCCCTCTCGGCCTGCGTCTCCTCGACCGGTGAACAACGCGGGCGGCGTCGACGCGGACGTCAACGCGGGTGGTGGCCAAGTCAGCAGTAGCGCGGGAGGCACGACGAGGCAGCGAGGTGTGATTCACGCCGATGAAGTCGGCGGCGTTCAGGCGAGAGGGATGCAGTCGCCCGCGGCTGCAGGGGCCTCGCGGGGCTACGTCAGAGGCAGACGAAGTGAATTGGCGCCGATGTCGGCGACACACGTGACCACGGGAGGAATTGCGCCGAGCTACGGCTACTTCAAGTTTACGCCGGACAGGATCTTGGTCACCCCTCTGCTGGTCGGTCGACCTGACATCCTCACGTGGAAGGAAGCCATCGAGCCCCACCTGGATATGGCCGGGCTGATGGGCTTCGCCCGCGGGACCGTGGCGACGCCGGAGGAGCACTACCCCGACCTGCGAGCGCAGTTTCGCGCCGTGCAGTTGCTGACCTTCACGGTCATCTCGCGGTGCTGCTCACCGGGCATACAGATTGCCCTGAAGTCGTGTAGGGAGTACCTCGACGCCGGCCACCGGTCGTGGCATTTCATCGAGTCGACTTACCAAGTCACCGACGACTTGTTCATCGCCCAGCTTGGGGGGCAGCTGACGCATCTGCGTATGGGCGATCAGGAGATCGCGACCGACAACTGCAACCGAGCTCGGCGAATTCTCGCCACCATACGGATGGCTGGCGCGCAGTACTCAATGACATCGTACATCACATACATCATGCAGGGACTCCCGAGCAGCTACAACCTGCCGAAGCGGCTGTCGATGGCGCCGAGCACATGGGCAATGCTCAACGAGGACACATTGACCTCGTACATCCTGCAAGACGAGGCGATGCAGCAGGATGAGCGGTCCTGGGAGCTCCTCGCGCAAATGAACTACGTCGCCCCGGTGAAGCAAGGTGGTCGACTGGGACAGCGCGGGCAGTCTGGTGGCAGTCACCGCGGTGGCGGGAAGCCGGTGAAGGACGCCGACAAGTAGAAGTCCGTCAAGGATGGCGGTCGTGGAGGAGGAGGTCAACATCGGGAATGCTGGCTGTGTGGCGATCCTGATCACCTCTCCTTCGAGTGTCCCGACCGCAATGACTCGGACGACGACGAAACCAAGGGAGGCCGTGGGAGGTCTGGCAGCCGTCGTCCTCGTCGAGGAAACCAGCCGCGAAAGGAGAAGCAGTCGACGAAGTCGACCTCGGCGAAGGACGCCGACTCCTCCGCGGTTGGCAAAGGGCGAGGGGACAAGGAGGCGTCGTGCTCGCTGGTCGGTATCGTAGAGCCGACCGTCTCGCTGGCGCCAGAGGCTAGCGAAGATTTCCAGGCGGTGGCAGCAGCTGTGCAGGCAAACCCGGTGGTGGTCCTGCTCGACAGCGGCTGCTCGCACCACCTGATGGGGACGAAGGACGCCTTTGTCGACTTGGGGCCGAGCGGCGACGTGAAGCACGTGCGTGGCTTCAATGGGGCGCTGCAGAAC